GCTGTCGTATAAAATTATTTTGCGAGAAAAAGAAAGAATGAGGTTAGGTCAGTTTCAAAATAAATTACTCGTATATATTTCCTAAATTGTTTAGAATTATTTGTACAGTTGTTTGTTGCTTTACTGTATTATCTGATAGCATGTGTACTACCTAGTAACGTGTATTACCTGGTAAAGTGTATTATCTGAAGTTAGCTGTCGTATAAAATCATTTTGTGAGAAAAAAAGAAAATGGCGTCAGATCACTTTCAAAATAAACAACTCACATATATATATATTATTCGAGTGTGTATGGATGTATAAAAAAATAATTGCAAAAGTTCAATGTGTCTAATTAAAAATCAAATAAAAAAAAAAACTACATACAAATTTTATCCTAGTTTGTTTTTTTAAATGACGAAATGCAATCGAATTGTCAACATTTGATCACTAAACAATCTTTTCTGTGGTAATTTGCGCGGAATAATAATTCACTAAATCACGTAAAACGTGATTATCAATATCTTTAGGTCGTCCAGTGCAAAGTTTAGATCGTTCAGATCAAGTTCATCATTTCGAAATCGATTAAATCATTTCTTTTCTTTTTTTTAACTCTTCTTATTACGTTCTCTTAATATTACGTCTTGAATATTTATTTCTTGCGCAGTTTCCAAGCACAACACTATAATATAACATAACACAACGAGAATATAACTTTTTATTTTTTTTATTTTTAATAATTAAAACACGATGCACGCTAATTATATTTAAATATAAAGTTTCTCTTTTTCTTTAAATATAATTATTAATTAATATTAAATTCACATTTGTTTTTGTTTTTTAATTTAAATAACTGTCAATTAATAATATAATTACAAAAGAAATATCAGTATAATCAAAAGTGCATGATTGAATGTATTTATAAAAATCGTAAACGAACTTTTGCAATCACCCAATATATATATATGTATGTATGTATGTATGTATAATCAAATGCGCACTGTATTAAAAGATCAGATAAATTATTAAAGCGTGAACAAGATTTCTCGATCGTGTTAAGTTCGATCTATCGTTCGAGATTTATAGGAAAATATATCTTAACATATTAAAAATTAAATTTAATCTTTCTTTCACAACTAAATTACATTTATTCCATTATTCCTAATATTCTTTTTAATATATTATATCAAGACTTAATTATATATGAAAGACAAATATTTAAACTGAGAAAGGAAAACTATTTATATATCACATTCGATAAAATAAATAAATATATATATATACG